AACCATGGGGTAAACCAAATAAATTACTGGCTAAGTGTCTTTTTGGTAGTAGAAAATGTCAGGTTAATTTCAATATTGTAACTTGTTTAGTGCTTGTGAAAAAAATTGTTAAACAAATTTTATGTACCCCCTTTAAGGGGCTGTATCTTAACAAGGGATGCTCCAATGAAGTTTCTTTATATGAAAGATCCTATCTTTTTTTCGATGAGGAATCACCCCCTTAAATGTTTTACACTTATTTAGTTACACCCTGTATATTGACCATTGCAATCAATAACTTCTTGAACCTTCTATCAAATAATCGAATATATTTATTTTCTTGGGTATAAGGTTCTTGTCTGATAGGCCATTAAAAAATGAAGAAAGAAAAACACCAGAAAACTTTTTACTCTTAACGTTTCGTTCCCGATCAGGAACTTTATCAAAAGATTTTTAATATTCACATGTATTACAAGTCAAATTACATATTTTAAAACCTAAAAATATACAAAAACATACAATTACATTATTATCGAAAACAATTAATTTTGTACCTAAACAACCATTCCATACAATTTTTAAAATTTAATTGTTAAAAATATAGTCATCTTTCTTTTTTTTCCTTATTTTAAAATAAGCTTCAATTTGCATTTTAATTGTAAATTTGTTATAAATAGTGTTAATTTAGAAAACTTCAATGCTGATGTGAGGATACGATGACTGCCATGAGAAACAAAACGCGATAATTTGAGCAAGTTGCAAGAGCAAGAGACATCTAGGAGATTTATTGGGGACCAGGAATGAAATAGTACAGAAAACATAAAGTTCAAAAATTGAATTTATTAAACAGATTTGTGAATAAATAAATTCAAATATTGAAAATAATTACGTTTATTTAATTAAATTATAATATATTTGACTTACATTTTTAATATCAGTTTTGTCATTAATACTACTTTTATTTTTTTTAATATGAATCATTTCATTAATTAAAATAAATTAAAGAAATAAAAAAAATTAAAAAAAATTAAAAAAATAAAAAAAATAAAATAAAAAAAAATAAAGAAAAATAAAAAAAAGTTGAATCGAAAAAATAATTAAAAAAAATCTCCCCCACTTCCCCGGTTCTGATTGTCTGTTCTGCGTTGAATGCAAAAGGTCGTGGGTCTATAATTTTGGCTGGGATTATAAAGTTCCTCGAACTCGAAGTCCGTCTGTCGAAAAACAAAAAAGTTAGTTAATAATTGCAACAGCTGGAGCGAACGCATTATCTTAACTCTCATTGATTGATGATTTTGAAACAAAAGCCGGGACGCCTGGTAATTTGTTTATTAATTCCCGGAACGGATGGGCCAACTCAAAAAGAATAATATTTCAGTCAACACTAATTTGTCGAAAAGTTAAGGGTTTCAAGTAGGTTTAGCGTCGCCACAAGGCCGTCCTTCCGAAAAGGCTTCATTAAATTTAGCAGTATTTTTTAACAAGTTCACTTGGACCGTCGGGGCCATGTGTTGAGCATCTGGTATAAAGAGAAAAATCGATATTTCTAATAAAGCGCGAAATGCTTTTGAAAGAACACGTAGGAATTCCAAGATATTGAAATAAGTTGTTAAACTGATAATAATTGGAAAAGAAAGATATATCAAATAGCTGTTTTTTAGGCGGATCTCCAGGCTTATTAAATGAGATTGACTAATCCGTCCCGTATTGCTACACGGAGTAACTAGAGGAAGGCTAGGGTTATTTGTAAGTTCAGTTAGTCACAGAATTATTTATATAAATGTAAGTCCAGTAAATTAGGTAATTATTAATATAGTATAGTTATACCAAAGCGTTCCAATATTCAGGGAGCTCACCAATAAGATAAGAACAGAAACGTCCGGACCCAAAAAATGGGCGTGTCGAAGCGAGATGTCGAATTCAAGAGAGATCTCCGAAAAAACAAACAGTTTTTCCTTGGGTTCCACATTGAGCAGTCTACTTAGTTTTAGAGTCTCGGGTTAATTTAATAATGGATGAAGTCATTCCAAATTTTGCTATGGATCGCGCATACCGTGAATCTCGGTACGCTATCGAGTGTAAATAAATAAATTAATAATGTTGTTCGAGCCCGTTGTGTCGTTATTTTGTTTGTTTGTGTTTTTTTTATTATTATTGAAACCCTCCCTGGAAGTTTTGGTGTTTCTTTCTTGTTCTTCCAACTTAAGTGTCACCCTATACAACCAACCATTGGATTATCTTGTACATGAGCGACATATGGTAAGTGTCTGGTATTCATTCTCTGAACGTACAACATTTCTAAGTTCCCACGCATTAATTAAAGTGTAATGATAATAATTATAAACTCCCTTTCGAGAAGTTAATAGTAAACTCTTTTGTCAGTTAACACCGTTGTGAAGCTGGTCATAGCGGTAGATAGATAAGTAAATAAATAACCCCTCGTGTTACAATTTGTTGTTTTTTTTTTTAAATCAATTTCGTATCAACCACACCTTGATGTTGCAACAATTTTATTAAATAAAAAAATAAGGTTTTATCCTTAAGAAAATTTTACATTTTTTAATTTTTTTGAAATAAATAATTAATTAGGTAAATTCATAGTTTTAATTCTAAATTGATTTATTTTATTTAGCATTTAACTTAAATATGATTTCTAAATAAAAGATAAGTTCTATATCTCTTTAATTGCATAATTAAATGCATTAAATTTATTTGGCAGTTATTATTTGGCAACAAAGCCACCGTTAGAACTGCCTCCTATTACCGAGTAGAAGAGTTACCACGCTAAATTTTATTGCTGGATGCTGGCTAACAAGACTTTACATCCTTTTTAGGTTGCCAATTTCCAGCATTTAAAGCACGGTCTGAGGCGATAAGTTATATTGTTTGTGCTGTACTGTACACAAACGTATTGCTATCCAAAATTTTTGCTGGGATTACACAGCTAATGTTGTCAGTAAAATCGACGCTTTGTTTCGTTTTGGATTAAAACGCCGTAAATGATAATCCATAATACATTGTTTCACTTTCAATAAATAATCGATTAAGTAGTTCTGCCACTGACTATCGATAAGTAGTGTTTTTTTACGTTATGTTATTATTGTATTTCTAATCCTTGAAAATTAACATTAAATTATCTGATCATATACAGGTCTAACTCCAGTCCTGGATTCCAATATATAAACGTGTCACGTAAAGACCAGATTGCAGTGCTATTGGAAACTTCATTTTACGAAGTGAGTATTTATTCTGAATTAAGAGTCTTACTAAACTCATTAGCATTATTGTTTCAGGAAAGATGAAGTTCCTTTTGGCCCTTCTCGCTTTGGCTGTAAGCCTTTCTGTGGCTGAAAAACTCAGATTCGACAATTTCAGAGTCTACAGACTGATTCCTAACGATGAGGAGACCCTCAACATCCTTAAACAATTCGAGGATACAGAAGAACTTTCTGAATACAATTTTTGGAGTCCTCCCCTCAAAGTAGGTGGAGAAGTAGATCTTATGGTACCTCCTTATCGGTTTGACGAGATAGAAAATATGGCGAAAAGCAGAGGGATGAATGCTAGTGTATTCATAGAGGACGTACAAGAACTCATCGACAATGAAGGTCTCAGATCGCAATCTAGAGCTGGAAGCTTCGGTTGGACTAGCTATCACACTCTTGCAGAGGTAAAAATCAAAATTTAAGCATCGAACATATCTTATATTTAAAATTTTGAAGAATAATTTTTATGAACAAATTACAGTCTTAGACAAACGTTCTTGAGATGTAGGGTGATAATATTAATTCCCTATAGTAGTGGAAAATATATTTTTTATATATTTATAGATAATGTCGATTGAATTATTAGTACATATGTGTCATGGTATTACTTTCCCAGTAATAACTAGGCATAGAAATTAAGGGATATTAAAAAAAATCTCAAAATTTTAGGTGATTTTGAAAGAGCTGTAACTTGGAGGGAAATGGTAGTCGAGAGATTAAAAATAAGGAAATTGAAGCTTCAAGTTTCTAGTTATCTGGNTACTTCTTATAAAAAAACATATGTTTCACAGGTGATTCCGAGTTTGGGGGTTGCAACCCTTATTTTTTATTTCGGAAAAAATGTTTTTTATAAAAAATTTATATTTGCTCAAAAAAAAATAAAAAATGTCATTTATGTAAACAAATTGGCAAAATTAAGTTGACCTGTTTTTTATCGGCGGAAAAACATATTTATGGGGTGAAATACATCCTTAAAGTGTGCCCACAAAACAGTTTTTTCTAAATATCTGGGGTTCTAATTAATATTTTGAAATGAAACAAAATGGAAATTACTTATTATAAAAAACAAATATTTCGGAAGTGATTTCGTGTTTGGGGGTTGCTTTCCTTATTTTTTATTTCAGAAAAACTATATTTTTTATATAAAAAATTCATATTTACTCAAAGAGTTAAAAATATGACTTATGTAAACAAATTGACAAAATTAAATTGACCTGTTTCTGGTTTTTCGTTAAAATTTCTTGGTTAAGGGGAGTAGTTAAGCAGTGGGCACTTTGGCTCACTTCAAGGTCACTCCAGGCTACCACCAGGCTGTCGCCATCCGGAGCCGGCACCAGGTCTCCAGCAGCAGGCATGGCGATGCCGTCCTCCAAGGTCACGCTGAAGAAGTGTCAGTGGGGTGCGGGGG